TGGCTTCAACAACCAGAACTAAGCTGATCTGAAGCCAGGAGCTTCTTCTGGGTTGCCTACATGAGTGCAGGGTCCCAAAGACTTGGGCCATCCTCCACTACTTTTTTAGGCCATTAGCTATGAGCTGGATTGGAACTGGAACAGCCGGGATTTGAACCAGCAAGCATGGGATGCCTGTGCTGTAGGTAGCGGCTTTATTGGCTATATCACAGCGCTGGTGCCAATGCAGTGGTTTTTATGATTAAAAGTAAGCAACATGTAAATGCAATGGAACTTGATTAACATTGTATATATCTGGTTGAGTTGATTTGTTTGTTGATATTTGCATGAGTGAGAACAAATATGTATGTATGACATGTAATTTATAAATTATCCTGTATTTATCCCACACAACTTAATTTTCTTGTGCTCATTTCAGGAAACTTACTAATTATGGTTTTATAAGCAAGACTTTCCCCATAATTTGCACTCTAAAAACAGCTCTAATTTAACACAGCCAGCAATAGCTCACGGGCCACATGCAGCTGTGGCTTGCTTTGCGATGGCCCCACGAGCTTTCAATTTCACTAGAGCTGTATTTTAGTTTCTTACTTAAAGGTAGAATGATGGGTAGAGAGGGGGCAAAGGGGAGATCTGAAACTACTGGTCCATTCCCCAAATGCCCACAACAGCCTGGGCTGAGGCAGGCTGAGTCTGAAAAATGCCCCCCTTGGGTGGCAGGAGGCCAGACATTTGGGCCACCATCTGCTGCCTCCCAGGCACATTAACAGAGGGCAGGATGAGACGTGCAGGGAGGCTGGGGGCTCGAACCAGGCACCCCTAGATCAGAGATCAGAGGCCCGCATCCCAAGCTGGGAGTGGGAGGGTGGGAAGGAGATAGCTTCACTCCCCTGCCCCAGTTATACTTTACAAAGAACAGGTGACAGACTTTGTATGACCCTCCAAACCTAAGATCTTCTACGGGAACAAGATTGGCTCCTTATTCGAATCAGTATTACTCAAAGCACTTTCTGGGGTCTGGCTTGGGAGTTCCTTTTTACAAGTATGCCTGCGCGGCCTTGCGCAGTAGCCTAGTGGCTAAAGTCCTTGCCTTGAACGTGCCAGGATCCCCTATGGGCGCTGGTTCTAATTCCGGCAGCCCCACTTCCCATCCAGCTCCTAAACAAACAAACAAAAAAGAAAGACATACAAGTCTGCGAGAGATAAGGAGCTTCTGCCAGCTTCAAAAGCAGCTACAGCTCATCCATAGGTTCTTTGACTTAGTGGAGCAGCGTTTCTCCCATGGCAAGACTTTGTTGAAGAAGGAAGTTGCATGTAGTTGGTTTTCTGTATGTTTCAGAGTCTCCCAGGAGTGGATTTAACCAACCACAGGTCAAAAAATATTGTTGCAGTGTAGTGGGTAGTCAGGGCCAGGAGGTTGGCATCCCTCATCATTGCTACCCAAGCAATTCACTGGAGCAATTATGTAATCAGTGTTTATATTGTATTGGTCTTTTTTGTTGTTGTTGTTTTTACACTTTTTTTTATTGCAAAGTCAGATAAACAGACAGGAGTATAGACAGAGAGGAAGATCTTCCATCCGATGATTCACTCCCTAAGAGGCCACAATGGCCAGAGCTGTGCCAATCCGAAGCCAGGATCCAGGAACTTCTTCCAAGTCTCCCATGCCGGTGCAGGGTCCTAAGGCTTTGGGCCATCCTCGACTGCTTTCCCAGGCCACAAGCAGGGAACTGGACGGGAAGCGGGGCTGCAGGGATTAGAACCGGCGCCCATAGATTAGAACTGAGGCACAATAACATTTTATGAAGTTCGAGTCAGAAGTGGTTCACAAATCTGGAAATATGAAACCGAAAGAGGTTTAGTGTTTTAGAATGTCAGCAGCCAGCATTTATAGGGTGGGTGCGGGAGCCAGAAAAGAAGATGACTGGATTGACTGCAGTTGCAAAATTCTGGGTTTTTTTCTGTGGAGAAGTTCCTTGCCGTGGTCATCTGCTGGCTGGCTGCCTGTTTCTGTCCCCACCCGTGCATTTCCCAGAAGTGATGCACGTTAGGGCTGCAGCTGAAGCAAGTTTCCGTCTCTCACGCAGTAAGTTCTAGAGAGTGTTGACCGCTCAGGAATTTTTCTTGCTGAAAATCCATTTTGGACTTTGCAGTGACAGCAATCGACAGTCCCCTAATCACCAGCGTACTTCCCACATGACACATCCAGGCCACACACACGAAGAGCAACTCTTATTCTGCAGTGTGCTTAGGTCACCATCTGCGACAGTCTTGAACGCCGTGTTGATGCCGAGCACTTTGGGAACCAGGAATTGAAAGGCAAGGAGCAGACACAAGGTAATTAAGCAAGACTTTGACCATGAACGGTACCTGAGAGGAAGAATTTAACAAAAGTATTTTTCTTGGCACTGGCATTGTGATGTACTGAGTAAAGCTGTGTTTGTGTCCCGGTTGCTCCACTTCCGACCCAGCTCCCTGCTAATGCACCTGGGAAAGGAGCAGAGGACGGCCCGAGCGCCTGTGCCCCTGCCACTCACACAGGAGACCAAGATGGAGTTCTGTGCTCCTGGCTTCAGCCTGGCCCGACCCCAACCAATGCAGCCTTTTGGGGAATGAACCAGAGCGAAGATTCTTTCTCTCTCTTTTTAACTCTGCCTTTAAAATAAATAAAGCTTTTTTTGAAGATTTATTTTATTTTTAATCACAAAGTCAGATACACAGAGAAAAGGAGATACAGAGAGGAAGATCTTCCATCTGATGATTCACTCCCAAGGTGAGCACAATGGCCAGTGTTGCGCCAATCTGAAGCCAGGAGCTTCTTCCGGGTCTCCCACGCGGGTGCAGGGTCCCAAGGCTTTGGGCTGTCCTTTGTGGCTGACTGCTGTCCTTGTGGCTGTCCTTGTGGCTGACTGCTTTCCCAGGTCACAAGCAGGGAGCTGGATGGGAAGTGGAGCTGCCAGGATTAGAACCAGCGCCCATATGGGATCACTGCCACATGCAAGGCGAGGACTTTAGCCACTAGGCCACTGTGCCCGGCCCTAAAGGTTTATTTTTATTTGAAAGGTAGAGTTACAAAGAGAAACCACCCACAGAGAGCTAGTGGGAGCTGCCGGCGCAGAGAAGGAATCCATATTCTTTATTTTTAAAAGAGATTTGTGAATTTATTTTCAAGGTCACATGACAGAGAAACAGAGGAAGGTATCTTCTATTCATTGGTCCATCCCCCAAATGCATACAACAGGCAGGAATTCCGCACAGGTCTTTCATGTGTGGCAAGAATCCAAGCACTCCACTCATTATCCACAGGCTCCCAAACATACGAGCAGGAAGCCCAGAGAAGTCACGATTTGAACCAGGCACTCCCCCATGGAGTACAGGTACCCCAAGCAGTGGCCCAACCCAGTGCCTACTCCCATGCACAATTTTCTTTAGTCCACAGGACTGAAGAAGCCGAAGCGTGTTGATGGCAGTGCCATCAGAGGTGAGAGCTTTGACTTGGGCACTATTTCCCGCCCCCTGGGCTCAGCAGTCACTCTCTTGACTGAGACTGTCAACCAACATGTTGTTTGGCACAAGATCTGCTAAGGCAAAATGAAATACTGTGTGCACAAGGCGCCCCAGAATTTAAGGCGTTGTAGAAACAGCAACTACCCATTGGTCTTCACGGTTCTAACCAGTGATTGGTCCATTTCTAATGGGCCGTAATCCCTGATGGGTCCTTCCAGCACCTGAAATTCTGAAATTCTTTTTTTTTTTTTTCCAGAATGGAGCAAGTTCCTGTTACACAGCCACAGTGCACAATAACCTATTATACATATCCTAAACAAATACAAGAGTTGCAAGGCTCCAATTACAAACAGTGACAGAGGGAAAATATTACTCTGATTTGATCAGTACACACTGTATTCCTGTATCAAAATGTCACCTTATGTATTTATAATTATTCTTGAAAAGCTTATCAAATGTTCTACAAAATCAACGGTACATAAATATTACTTCAGGAACAACAAAGGAAGAAAAGAACAGAAAATAAATGAATAGGCATGCCATGGGTTGACAGAAAATAATCTTTACCACATACATATCTGAGAATTACCTATAACCTACAATGTAATAGTTTATAAATCCAATTAGGATGGGTAAAACATTTAAATAGACATTTTATCAAGATAGACAAACAATTATAAGACAAGAAGAAATGTTCAAGCTCATTTGTTTTCACATAAATTAAACCACAGGAGACATCATTAAACAGAGAATTAGCTAAAATTAAGACAACATCAGATAATGGTGAGAATATTAATGTGGAAAATCTGGACTCTCATATGCCTTTTTTCCTTTTCTTTCTTCTTCTTCTTTTTTTTAAATTATGTGACACAGTTTTATAGGTATTGGGATTCCCTCCACCCCTCCCTCCACCCTCCCCCCATGGTGGATTCCTCCACCTTGTTGCGTAACCACAATTCAAGTTCAGTTGAGATTCTTTCATTGCAAGCATATACCAAGCATAGAGTCCAGCATCTTATTGTCCAGATAAGTTCAACAGCTTCTTGGGGAGACCTTCTCTGGTCTGAAGGTAGAGCCAGCAGAGTAAAATCCCGATCAATTAAAAGCCCCAACATAACATCAGCAACAATATATAACATTACGGAATTAACTGACATAATATTGAGTAAACAATATGTTAAAATTAAATGCAAGTTCTTAACCACATCTTGTGACTACTTCAATGACATTTCAACAATTGAGGTGCAAAACAGTTTTAGGAGGGGTGTGCAGAGAAATCTTCAATACCTTGGTGAGGAGTACTTAATCTTGGTGTCCTACCTAGTAAGGTATGCGTGAGTCCGTGCTGACCAAGCTTTCCTTGTTGTTCTTTGCCTGTCTATTCTAATTTGTGAAGCACCTGAAATTCCAACAGTCCTCCCCACTGCCCCACTCAGCAGCTGGTGTGCAATACACAACATTAGTCCCATCCACGAGGAGTCCTCCTGCCCCGGACGCTGGCAGACAGGCAGGAAGTGATGTATTTCCTGTGCCTTTACATGGCGCACTGCAAGTGGTTCTTGAAGTACTGGAGGGCCAGCTTGAAGTGGACCTCCTCTTTGGTGTTAGTCCGGTATTTGTTGTAGCTCTTTTCCAGGACAGCCAGCTCTGGATCCACCACTGGAGTTCGGGGCTGGTGAGCCACAATCACCTCTGGGCATGAGCCCACAAGCAGGCTCCCCAACCCGTCCACGAAGAATTCTGCAAAGAGAGACGGGCAGCAGAAAGCCATGGGGATGGCGGTCAGATGGCTGCAAGTCTGGGAGGGCAGTCACGGGGACCGCCCCACAGGAAGCCAGGACTCTAGGCACCTGCTCCTGCTGATGAGCTGGAAGGAAACGACAATCTCCCTGTTCAAGCAAAGGTGTGGCACAAGAGGTTGTGATGAGCTGCCCAACTGGACAGAACTGTTAAACAGGAAAGCGTTTCTGGAGAGACTATCAAGTCAGGTGGGCAGAGGTGTGGAAGCCCGGGCTGTAGGGAAAGGGGAACTCGGATGGAAACGCCTAGGGCAGACGCAGAAGTGAGATGTGAAGAGGCACAGGGAGATGCCAAGAGCTCCCCCGTGTGGAATGGGAAGAAAAAGAGAGCTGTTGTCGGGCCCTTGGAAAGAAGAAACCCTGCCCCGGTCCATCCCCAGGCTGGCTCACCGCCCTGCTCCCCTCCGCTTGGCCCCACCTCCCACCTGAGTGAGCCACGCGCTTCAGACGGGGATCAAAGCCAACTCTGCGGAGACGCTCTGTGTGGGCCAGGAAGAAGTTGACCACGCCGCTGGTCACCACGCAGCCGGGGAAGCCCTCCAGGGGCTGGAAGAACCCTGGCCTCCGGTGAAGACAGCTCCCCTGCTCCGTCTGTTCCCAGAACAGCTTGAACTGGAACACATTCCCCAGCACGCTGCCGCCCACCTGACGGGGGGCAGAGAGAGAACCACGTTAGTGAGCACAGACTCCACACGCAGCCTGCTTCTTCCAGGGAGCCTTGCCCGACTTCACCTTCCCCACAGGGCAGAGGACGGCTGCGTGCACACTCTGCTCACACGACAGCACCCTCATGCTTTCCAGAGAGAGAATCTCTGCTCCCTGCTCCAAGAACCGTGATGCACAGAAATGCGTCTTCTGAAAAAAAAATCTGCCTCGGTTTCAACACTGGCTTCTCTCTCTCTTTTGGCTTCAAAATAAACTTTTCTCTTACTTCCATTTTCCCACGAGTCCTCTGACGCCCTCTTGCATTCACTTGCATGCAAGAGGCAGCCCCTGTGCTCAGGCAATGTCCACTTAATGGGCTTCTTGCAGGCAGCTGTTGGTCTCAAGCATTCTCCCTCCTGGTCTCTGCCCCTGCTGGCCTCTCTTGAGTTTCCATTGCACATGCCTGAGAGCCATGAGCCCGAGTGAGACAGGGTGAGCTGGCTCTTGTCTTCCCAAAGCAATCGCCACCACAATTAAAGGTGCCACAGTCCCCAGACCCGAGGCTTTGCATGTGAGCAGCAATCTGTCTGTCTCTTTCATTTAAGCTGTTGTGGCTTGTTCCCCACGAGTAGCCCAAGGGATGTCCTGGTTCACCCAATAAGGAACTGTGCCCTTGGGGGGGACCCCAAGCCTCCTTGCAGTTGGGACCCCCGCTCAGCCTCCATCTGTGTCCTTTCTCCCCCCCCCCCCCCTTCCACAGTGAGCTGACGGGTGAAGCAGTCACCATTTCCCTTCCAGTGTCATCAGTGCCCATGTGTCAAGTTCACTGCTTCCTTCTGGTGCGTGGTGGGAGCAGGGCACTGCCCTGATTCCACACCAGCTGGGGAGGGGGCAGGAAGAGGCCTGTGTGTGCATGTAATCCCACTTGTGTGTGTACGCATGAGTGTGTGTATGTGTGTACACACCTGGGTGTGCATGCAACTGCACGAGTGTGTATGTGAGTGTATACGTGTATGGCCACATACGTGTGTGCGATTTGCTCAAAGTCAGTAACCAAGGGGGCAGAAGTTGATGGGTAAGCGAGGCTGTCCTGGCTCACCCATCTCCGGGCATCAGCCCCTTCCTCTCCTCTGCCGGCCTCCTTTCCTCTCCCCCATGTGCCCCATCTCTACAGAGGGTACCCACAGAGGGCCTGGCAGCCGCCCCTTACCACATCCAGCTGAGTGTTTTCTAGCACGTCCACCAGCACCTCGATCTTGGTCTTGTTGTTGAAGAGAAAGTCGTCATCCACCCAGAGGACGTACTTGGTGGTGACCTGAGAGATGGCCAGGTTCCTGCCAGCGAACCAACCCTGCAGGTGGATGAGGCGAACTCAGCCAGTCCCAGCTACACAGTGCAGCTGCCTGGCCAGAGCCTGCGTGGTGGGAGCCGCCGCACGGCCAAGGTGGAGAATCACTGGGTCAAGGCTGTCCAGCTCCCAAGAGGGACAGGAGACGGGTCTGTGACAGGTGGCTCACGGACTGAGACAGGGGAAAGCCAGGCAGTCTTTCCTTGGCCCTCTGCCCTGTCACCTGTGGCTCTCCTCCTAGCTCCCCAAAGATGGAGGAATGTGGCATGTGTCATATCTGTGTCCTCTGTTCCTGTAGGAGGGAGCATGGGGGACAGTGAAGGCACGAGGAGGGAGGGGAAGGACAGAAAAGGATAAAGAGAGAAACAGGGCCAGTTTCAGGTGGAATCTCAGGAAAGAAAAGTTGCCCTACTGTCAGAGCTGCACATCAGACACCCCACATCCCCGCTAAGGGCCCCCCGTCACTTTCCCCACCCAGCCTGAGGAAAGGTGGCCCACCAAGGCACACAAGTGAGGGAGGCTGAATCTGGGTTTCCCAAGGGTCTCCAAGGACTCTGCTTTTTTCTTTGGGAAGACCCCAGCAGCAGCCCCACCAGGGAAGCACCGGCATCCGGGGCCCTCTGCTCCAGGAGGGCCTTACCTTCCCAAAGGGCATGGTGTAATACTCCACGTGCTTGTCCTGGATGTCCAGCGGCTTCTTGCTGTCATCAGCCACGATCACGGTCAGGTCTGGGTAGTAGTCGCGAATGCTCCGAAGCAGGACCATGAGCTTGTTGGGGCGCAGGAAGGTCTTGGTGGCAATGGTCACCAGGTCTCTGAGATTCCTCTCTGGGCACAGAAGGCTGGGAGTCAGAGCTCCGGCCTGTGGGAGGCCGCCCTGTCCCAGGCTTGGCTCTGAGGGCCTCTGTTTGCTGCAGCCCATCTGCCCCTGTAGGCCTAGTGCTTCTTACACACCGTGGATACCTGATCAGGGTTTGCCATTGGGTTGGAAAGTCAAATGTGCTTCCAGTGTGCTCAGTCTGCTGAAATGTCATAGGTTTGCCTCATTCTTCCCTACCTTGACTTGCATCCTGTTTCATCTCTTTTTGGATTTTTTTTTTTTTAATTTGAAAGGCAGAGGGAGGAGAGAGAGAGAATCCAGGCAAGGGTCCACTCCCTTACATGCCCACAACCACCAAGGTGGGGCCAGGCCAAAGCCAGGAGCCTGGAACTCAGGGCAGGTCTTCTATGAGCACCTGCTGCCTCCCAGGGTGTGCACTGGCAGGAAGCTGGAGTTGGAAGTGGAGGCAGCACTCGAACCGAGCCGCTACAATATGAAGTCCGGATATTCCAAGTGGCACCTCCATGGCTGTGCCCAAAGTCTGCCTTCCTTGTACCAGGCATTGAGATGCGCAAATGACCAGGGGGTCCTAGAGCCCAAGAACAGGAGACACAGTCTAAAGGACTGGGACCTGCCCCTTGTCACCAACCACCACTCCCAGGAGAAGCCCACTTGGTCTCCGTGTACAGGAAGACATGGTTGGAAAAAGGTCTACTTGGAAGCCCAGGGTGTCTGTCTTAAGGCACGTGACTTACACCAAAGATGGAAGAAGAGATTGCTCTTCCTTGGGAAAGACCCATGAAGGGGGTGGAGAGTAGCACAATAGCTCAACCGGCAAATCCTCCACCTTCAAGCATTGGGATTCCATGTGGACACTAGTGTGTGTCCTGGCTGCTCCACTTCCCCTCCAGCTCCCTGCTTGTAGCCTGGGAAAGCAATGGGGGATGGCTCAAAGCCTTGTGACTCTGACCCCATGTGAGAGACCCAGAAGAAAACACTGTCCATGGAAGCTGCACTTGCGTGGCGTGGGGATGGGGTCAGCCGGAAGCAATGCTGACAGCCACAGCCCTGCCCTGGCCCACGGCACAGCCATTTCCTCAGCACATTCCAGCAGGTATTCTAGCATGCATGGTGTCTGCTTCTGGACCTCCAGTTTGTGTTCCCCCAATAAGCCCAAAGTTCAGCACAGTTAAGCCGTACAGCTAAGGGAACAACATAGATTTTTTTTTTTTTTCCTGCAGAGCTTGTTGATGGGAGTCTGGGCTGTCACTTTGAGCAGTGCCCCTCCCCCCACCTCAGGGGTACGCCCTCCCTACAACTCTGAGTTTCACCAAGAGCTGGCAGGTGCACCGTGGTTCCCCCAGGACAAAGGCCTTACCTGGCCCAGGGTCATACAGTCTGGGCATAACAGGGTAGCGGATGCTCACTGGAAACTTGGCCACAGAAGACTTCCATTTCAGGCTCACTGCAGGGAAAAAGCAAGGTCAGGTCATGACTGCCTCAGACCCCACACCCTCGCATGGAAGCCTAGGCACGGAGTGGCACGAAGCTTGGGTAAGGACCCTCTCTCGGCAGGCATGAATGGACCCTGTAGATCACTGCATGTCTACACTGCAGCGGCCACCTGCTGAAGGCCTCCTTGCCTCATGATCCCTCCATGGGGGTCAGCGTGTGGTGGGGTGCGGTGGGTCTGGGACCAGAGGTTCTGGATTCAGATGGACTTAATGGGGGCTACCTGAAACACCTTGGATAACCCACTGTGTTTCCTTCTCTGGCTGCACAGCACCTCTCTGTTTTACTGTCCTCCAGCTGTGTGCTGATGGAAGATGCCTGGGAATCTGCTGGCAGGGAGAGAGCTTGTGCTAGTGACACAGGGAACGCGAGCCCCATTCCTTCTCTCCTGGGAATTCATCTCAGGCAGAGACTCAGAAGGCAGACAGGTGGTCTGAGGTCCTTCCGGGAAGAAAGTGAGGCAGCCATGTGGGCGGGAAGGACTTTCTGGGAGAGACAAAAATCTTTCCCTTGGGACTAGGGCGGTGGGGGTGGCCCTCCATGTCCCTCCTCTTTCTTGTTGGTGCCCAGGACCAGCAGTCTCCTGGACCATAGCTGATGCCTTCAGAAAACCACACAGGGCCAGTGCTGACCAGGCACAAGGCCAGCACTGGAAATGCTTTATTCCTTTCTTGTATCCCTCACAGGGTTGGGATGTTAAGCATCTGGGGTGGGAGAGTGGTAAGAAAGAGAAACAAGAATCATAAAAGCAAGCAGGATTCCCCAAGGCAGAAGACCTTGAGGGGACCCAGGGGGGTGCTTCTCCAGCTTCTTAAGCAGGTCTCACCCAGGTCCACCTTGGGGTGCTGGTACCCCGTGCTGGTGTAGGTCACATGTTGCAGGATGAAGTTCAAAAGAGTTCGGTCACTGGTTGAAATGATCAGCTGCTTCCGGCCTCTGCCCTGCACGACGTTGTCTGAGACGTTCGCAAGGGTGTTTAGGGTCCCCAGGGACGCACTCAGGTTGACCTAAGGGCCAGGGAGATGGAAAGATGCTAAAGGCACAGGTTTAAAAATACCCAAGATAGCCAGCAGGGGGCAGAGCACACCACAGGGAGAGAAGGGTTGGGGACACCTGGCGAAGTGTAGGGTTGGTTCTGCAGAGCAGCCCTACCCTAATACCCCAGACCCTATCCCTAAGCCTTGGGGGCCCTGGATTCAAGGGCATTTCCTCTAAACAGTGCCATATCCTAGCATCCAAGGTGCCATTCTTGGTTTCTTACTCATCACTATTGTGGCAGAGGCGGTGCGGGAGGAATACTTCTCTTCACCAGCTCCTCCTCTCTCTGATCCCGATTGGAGTTTTCAGAGCTCTGTTCTGGATCCTTCCCGCTTACTCTACAACTAGCAGCTTTTCATCCATGTCTTGTGCCTTTACATGCCACCTGTCTCTGAGTGACTTTAAAGTGTGTGACTCTACTGAGATCCAGCGGCCTGGTTGGTCACTCAGAAATGTGGCATAGGACGCCAGGCGTGTGGACCAGCTCGGCTCATCCCAACCTCTGCCTGGCATGCCAGGGGAAGCCAGCACCACGTTCGTCAGATATCTTGGTAGGGAGGGTCCTGAATGCAGTGACATTCCTCCATCAGACACGCATCCTACCACCTTGACCTGGAGCTACATTAAGTTGTGGGGAGGAAGCAGGGCCGGAGCGCTGGTGTCTTGCCTGTCTCTATCCTGACCAAGGCAGCAGCCTGCAGGGTGTGGGGGTGGAATCAGGAGTGCCACTCAGCTGGCCCAGCCCCTGGGTACGTCTCAGAAGCTCCCACGCCCCATCCCCAGGGCCTCCTGCCACTCCTGGGACTGCCATGCCTTCTCTACTTGCCCATTCCCTGACCCGCTCAGGGCTCACAGGTGATGCTTCATCGGGGCAGTGGCTTGGTCACACCCAGGGGAGAGAGGACAGGGTGTGGCTGAACGAGGCCGGGGGGTGGGGGGCCTTTTTTACCTTATAGTCAGGTGCGTCGGGCCCTTCAAACTGGAGACCTAGAGAACACAGAGAGAAGAACCACAACGCCATGGGAGAGGGCACCAAGGCTGCCTTGGCACTGCCCCCTATCTCACAGACTCCTCCCCTCTGCAAGTGCCCAACCCACCCGGGCTCTGGGGGACGGAGCCGGTGTGCCGTGGCCCTGCCCAAACTCCCAGGTCTTCAGGCCCAGGCCTTGGCTGCGAATGAACTCAGTCCTTTCCCAGTGTCTCAGTAGGAGTCATTCTTGGACTGCGTGGTGGGGTGGGGTGGGGCAGGGAGCCGGTGGAGGCACGTTGTGGCTAAATGCTCAAGTTCACTTGCGGATGGGCAGGTTTTGCAGATAGTTGATGCCACCTGATGGTGGCACCACACCGGGAGTGAACGGGGCCCCGCCGGTATTCTACTGATTCTGCCATTACAAATAGGGATCGTTGAAAATGGACCAGGTGCTTCCAGATGCATGATTTCAGGGACACCGCGATTCACCCCACTTGACTGATTTTGCTTCACTATCTCTCGCTCTCTCTGATGCTATGACAACACCTTTCCCAGGTGGCCTTAGGTAACTCGCTGACTCTCACCACCTGTGGAGTTGGCCAAGCACCCTTCTCTTGTTCGGGTGGCTGTAAATGCCAGCTCAGCTTAGAAGTGTATTGCCTGGGTCAGCACCGTGGTGTAGTATGTGAAGCTTCTGCCTGTAGAATCAGCATCCTGTATGGACACTGGTTCAAATCCTCGTTGCTGCACTTCCAATCCAGTTCCCTGCTAACGGCCTGGAAAAGCAGCGGAAAACAGCTCAAATTCTTGGATCCCTGCACCCACACAGGAGACCTAGAAGAAGCTGCAGACTCTTGGTCCAGCCCTAGCAACCATTTGGGGAATGTACCAGCAAATGAAAAAATGGAAGATCTCTGTATGTGTGTCTCTCTCCTTTTTTTTTTTTTTCTAGTAAGTCTACATTTCAAATAAAAATGAGAATTTTTAAAACATCCAAAGAAGAAAGGATGCTAGGCACGAAAACTCCTCTGCTTCTGGCCTTGTGCCCAGTCGGGCAGCTCAGCCATAGCCCCTGCACCTGCAGATCTCCCCCCATCCCGCAGGGGAGCTGGGACGGTGAACAACAAGGGTGGCTTCCTTCCCGAAGGACAAAGGACAGGAGGAGCTGGGTCCCCACTCAGAGGAACTTGATGCGGGGGTGGAGGGGGGAAACCCCCTTAAGGGAGTTCCAGAAACTTTCCCTAGTCCCGGTCCTCCTCCAAGTCTCCCCAGGGGCAGATTTGGGCAAGGGTGGGGGAAAGTGTGGGGAGACAAGGCACGCTGAGTTCCTGGGGATGGGGAAGTGGTGTGTTAGGGGGTCTGGGGTTGCTACGTGGAGGGGTTGGGGTGGCAGCGGGCGGAGGATGTCAGGCTGAGATGCTGTCACAGTAGGCTCCCTACCTGCTCGCTGCCGCTTTGTCCTTTCGCCTAAGCAGAGCCTAGGTGCTCACGGTGCAGCCGCACCTACCTGGGATGAGAACCGTGTGCAGGGGCATCACCTCCACTCCGTACACCGGGTACCCGAACGGGAGGTTGGGCAGAGCCAGCAGGGGCGGTGGGCGGGGCAGTCCTTCCCTGCAGGAGGACCACAGTGCCCTGGTTAGGTTTGGTCGGAGCCTTGGCCCTGCCCCGACCGACCTTTATTCCCACCCCTCCTCTTTGCTTTTAATTCCACTGAGGTGTGCAACAACAACAAAAAATGAAACCATCCATCCGCAGGAGCTGCCCCACCTGCGGCAGGTGAACACCCAAGTCACCCTTGGACTTCCTTAAAGTCAGACTTTCAAGGAAGTGGTACTCTGCCCAGTCCCTTCCTTGTGATAACAAGGAAGCAGCAGGCCAGTTCTCGAAAGGAAGTTTTTGTTTGTTTACTTTCAATATTTATTCATTTTTAATGGAAAGACATATTTACACAGAGTGATCGCAAAGGCCAGAGCTGAGCCAATCCAAAGCTAAGAGCCAGCAGCATCACCTGCCTCCTCTCCCAGCTGCACCCCCATTCCCCTCAACACACACACCCTTACCCACCTTGCCCCTGGCTCTCTTCTGAAGTTCAGGAGGTCATGGCTGACTCCACAAATCAAACTCAGAGGGGTCTGGCACTGCTGGAGTTCCAGCGGAAGGAGAAGGGAGGAGGGCAGGAGGCCTCCATTCTCTGGGGCTCCTGCACAGCACACTGCTCAGCAATCGGGGTGGGTGAGGGGGAGCAGGGCAGGGCAGGTGCTGGGGTTCAGCGCAGCGTTGAGCCCTTATCTGCAAAGCCAGCATCCCATGGGGCCCCAGTTCCAGTCCCAGCTGCTCCACTTCCTGCTGATGTACCTGGGAAAGCAGCAGAGGATGGCTGCTTAAGGGAGCTCCAGCACCCATGGATAACCTGGGAGAAGCTCTTGGCTTCTTTGGCCTGGCACAGCCCTGGTCCTTACAGCCACGTGGGGAGTAAAACAGCGAACAGATCTTTCTCTCTCTTACCCTCTATCCAAAATTCTGCCTTTCAAATAAAAGAAACACATCTCTCTTTTTAAAAAGATTTTGTTTATTTTTCTGAGAAAGGCAGATTTACAGAGAAAAGGAGAGACAAAGATTTTCCATCTGCTACTTCACTGCCCAAATGGCTGCAAGAGCTGGAGCTGAGCCAATCTGAAGCCAGGAGCTTCTTCTGGGTGCAAGGTCCCAAGGGTTTGGGCCATCCTCTACTGTTTTCCCAGGCCACAGGCAGGGAGCTGGATGGGAATGGAGCAGCTGGAATATGAAGCAGAGCCGATATGGGACTGCCTTACAAGGCAAGGGTTTAGCTACTGAGCCATCATGCTGGGTTCAATAAACAATTCTTTAAAAAAGAAAAAAGTGCCAAGCCAGCACGCAATGGCCTAGTGGCTAAATCTTCCCCTTGCATGCATCAGGATCTCATATGGGCGCTGGCTCATGTCAAGGCTGCTCCACATCCCATCCAGCTCCCTGCTGGTGGCCTGGAAGAGGACAGCCCAACACCATGGGACCCTGTACTCGTGTGGGAGACTCAGAAGAGGCTCCTGGCTCCTGACCTTCGATCAGCTCAGCTCCGGCCATTGCGGCCACTTGGGGAGTGAATCAGCAGATGAACGAACTTTCTGTCTCTCCTCTCTGTAAAATCTGACTTTCTAATCAAAATAAATCTTAAAAAAAGAAAAGAAAAAAGTCTATTTGTTAAAAAACAAACCAATATACATAACCCACTGTACCCTCAACGCAGGGAGCCCAGAGTTCATTCTGGGTCTTCCATGTAGGCAGCAGGGATGCAACTACTTAAACTGTCACCCGCTGCCTCACAGGTGCACATCCACCAGAAGCTGGAATTGGAAGCAAAGCTGTGGCTGAACCCCACAAAGGACAGGGGCATCTCAAAGCACCATTTCTCTGCAGCCTCAGGACACCCTGGAGCAGCTGCTGCTGCTTCCAGACCCACGCCTTACCTCCTCTGGAAGTGCGCAAATTCAGCCTGTCTCCTGGCGTTCACCGCCGGCAGGTCCCGCTGGTCATAGCCGTCCTGAAGGTCATAACTTCTTTGCTGCCTGGTGCTTTCACACTTGCACTGATTTTTAGGGAAGAGCCTAGAACAAGCAGGAGGACCAGTGCTGGGAGAGGTGCCCCCAGGGCTGTTTCCGTGTGTCATTGGCCCTGAAAGCCCTTTCCCACCCACATCTCACTGTTATAATGGGTAGAGATTGGGAACTCCCTAGCAGACACACGGTGGGCGGTGTGTGTGTGTGTGGTGGGGGGAAGTTGGTGGTGTGTGTGGGGGAGATGGATTTAGACTCCTCCCCTCTTTGCATTCGACTTTAAACCTGCGAGCCTTGTGACCATGTGCCTGTTTGAAAAGGAGCACCATGGGACAGGAAGGCGGGGTCGCGTTTCTCTTGGAAGGTAGGTGGAGCCAGTTCCCATTCCATCTCCCTGCTTGCCAAATCTACTTCATGTATTGTCCTTAGACAGAGTCTATGTGGGGTACTCAGTTCACTTGATCTTGGCCAAAAGGCCGAGTGACCGTATAAGGCAGCATCTTTCCTGGAGCTGGGGGGGAGGGGGAGGGTGTCGCACGAGCTGTCCCAGGATGTCAAAGATTTCGGGGTGCCACAGAGACCAGACACTCCATCAAACCCTCCCCTGCTCCCACGGTCTGGGACAAGCTCAGGAAGGCCAGGGAGCTGCAGGTGAATGGGGTCCAGGAGGATGGAGGACAGCACAGGCGGGGCTCAGGACGGAGGCCAAGAGCAAAGCCACGTCCTCTCACCAGATGCCGTCGTAGCTGAAGAAGTTGCGGAGGCTCTGCTCTGACAAGAGCTTCAGCGCTGTGGGGTCCCCGGACGTAGGACGTGACTGCTCCAGCTGAAGCCCCCAAAACTCTCCTTGCAGGACTACGCCTCTGAATATAAGCAAGCCGATGCTGAGTGCCAGGATGCTGATGAGCGATATCTTGAGCAACGGCAGAAATCGACAGCTGCTGGGACAACAAGGGGACCACTCAGCGCAAGCCTTCTGTTCGTGACCATGTATGTGATCGACAATGGGGGAGAGCGGCCCAAGGAACTGTGTGAGCTGCGCCTGTGTCTTACTTACAGGCCAGCAAAACCGATTTCTGATCAAGAACCTGTCTATGGCAAGGAAGTCAGAAAAACAAAACAAAACAAAAAACAGTAGCAAGACTCAGAAATTCAGGTCAGGGCCACTCCCTGATGCTTTATGAAAGGCCTCTGGACTGGACCCCAGACTCCGACAGCCCGCCAGGGTGTCCGGTGGAAATCTGCACTGTTCTTCCTTCCACGGAGATCCAGCTGTAAGCGTGGGCACAACCCTCGGTGAGGCCCACAAACCCTGCGCTGCGCGCCTCGATACCCAAACTGCCCCCGACACTGGCAAGTCCTCTGCTATCCTTTCTTTGTTAGGCTCTCCTAAAAGCTCTTTCTCACCAACTAAATCTCTTCAATTGCTATGGATTCATATTTTGGGTTTTTTTTTTTTTTTTTTTTTTACTGGTCAGTAAGGGCTAAATATCAATTGGCCTGTGATGGGGGAAGGGAAGAAGGCAGGCGGAGTTTCTATCTAGGCCCCTCTATAGATGAGATCTAAGTCATGGATATAGACTTAAGGGAGTAAGGTGCTATGCCTTGAATCCCTTCACGAGGCAGGCAGTGCTTCTCTTGGCCCCACCACAGGCGGCTTCCACGTGGCCGAGACCGAGTGTAGTTGCTAATGTAAGCAGAAAAGCAGGGTCAACACACACACACTTCTCCAGCTCTAGGTAAGAACACTGTCATACAGGCTTGTAGAATCAGGCCCGAAGCTGAGGGCAGGCTTGTCAATTCGAGGTTAGAACAAATTTCAAAGGGAGAGCATATCTTGTCCAGCCGTAGTCCCAGACCCAACATGTCGCAGGGAACAGGAGCAGTTTTGCTCCTGGCACACTCTGTTTCTAACTTTTGTGTTCTCTGGAATAACAGAATATTCTGGATCAGGCAGTAGTCCCGGATCCAGTGTGTTGCAGAAAACAGGAGTAATTTTGGTCCTGTACATGTTGTTCTGACTTTTATGTTCTCTGGAACACCAGGATACCTTGGACCAGGCGCACTGCAGGAAACAGGAGCGAATTTTTCACTCCCAGCACATGATGTTCTTTCTTTTTCTTTTTTAAAGAGTCATTTATTTTTACTGCAAAGTCAGATATACAGAGAGGAGGAGAGACAGAGAAAGATCTTCCGTACGATGATTCACTCCCCAAGTGACTGCAATGGCTGGTGCTGCTCCAATCCAAAGCCAGGAGCCAGGAGCTTCCTCCGGGTCTCCCACACAGGTGCAGGGTCCCAAGGCTTTTGGCCGTCCTTGACTGCTTTCCCAGGCCACAAGCAGGGAGCTGGATGGGAAGCAGGGCTGCCAGGATTAGAACCAGCGCCCATATGGGATCTCAGTGCGTACAAGGTGAGGACTTTAACCACTACACTCTCACACCGGACCCTAGCTTTTTCTTTTTTGCAGTGATTAATTATTAGCTTTGTTTCTGAACAAAAAGAACTGCAAATCAAACACACTGGGGAAATATAAGTAGGCAAAAATAAATGTTTTATTCCTGACTGAAGTCACTGAAATGTACACAGCTGTAATTTTGCTATGTTGATCTGTAAATTCAACATACTGGGCACACCCATCATGAACTCAAAACAGGTTTTACTTACTCATCATTACAATTTTCACATTCAATCAAAATAACACTCGAGAATAGTAAGAAAGATTGAAACTCAGAGAAGGATCCCTGGGCTTAGAAGCTGTGCTATTACAGAGGAGTGAAAAGCTGATCCCATGCCACAGGGGTGATGATGCAGGGACACAAAAACAGAGGCACTGGGCCCAGAACATGATAGTCCAGCAGCTAAAGTCCTCGCCTTGAACGCTCCGGGATCCCATATGGGCACTGGTTCTAATCCCGGCAGCTCCACTTCCCATCCAGCTCCCTGCTTGTGGCCTGGGAAAGCAGTCGAGGACGGCCCAAAGCCTTGGGACCCTGCACCCACGTGGGAGACCAGGAAGATGTTCCTGGCTCTTGGCTTTGGATCAGCTAAGCTCCGGTTGTTGCGGCTACTTGGGGAGTGAATCAGCGGATGGAAGATCTTCCTCTCTGTCTCTCCTCCTTTCTGTGTATCTGCCTTTCCAATAAAAATAATAAAATAAATGTTTCAAAAAATAAAAAAAACAAACAAACAAAACTGGTGCACGGGGCAAAGCAGAGCCCAGCAGTACCTGAAGATGCAAACTTCACAAGGAATTTTTCCTCTTTGTGTTGCTTCAGCAAGATTCGAGTTTTCTGCAATCACATTTCAAGCTAGCTATGTTGAAATGTAATAAAGTTACAGAAAACCTGGCAGGACAGAGACTTTTACTTCCTCTTGGTCAACTTCTTGGAATTCGGATTCATAAAGCTGACTCCGGCCAGAGACAGGACTCAATGACACCATCTCTAACAGGAACTGCTGTGGCTGGAGACCGCAAATACATGTTGAACTTCTATGAGATTAATACAAATGCTGAACCCGTGACAACTGTGCCGTGTGTGCTGGAATGGGGAAGGACAGAATTATAATGCCAGGAGTCTGGGACTCTGAGTGGGTGAAGTTTAAGAAACATTCAAGAAAAGGCACTTAGTCAAGTTAATGACAAGGTAGGATGTGAGTTCATCGGTCAGTCATCCACGTTAGCTGGTGAAGCATGTCCCTTCTAACCCTGACAAATCATTTTTGTGTTCCAGCCGCACACAGTTTGGGGTTGGAGCAGTGATGGGGGTGAGGGACGCAGCCTGAACCCTGAGGCTCCGGCCTCTTGGGGAGTCCGCCTGCTTCTGTGCACACGAGGTAAACCAGACAGGAGGGATTGTCATTGCATTAGAGAGTAGCCCCATGAATGCTGTGTTCTTTATCACTGCCATCTGCTTGAGAAGTCTGGCATTTTGACAGCGCAGAAATGCCTGCAGACACAGACTGGAATATTTCAACACACACCCAAACCGCTTCTGCTAGTCCACTTAATGAAAAACAGCTCTGAGTGGGGCTGTGGCATTGTGGCAGAGCAATTTAGGTCACTACGCGTGACGCCAACATCCCATATCAGAGTAGCAGTTTGAGTCCTTGCTGTTCTGCTTCCGATCTAGCTTCTTGATAATGCGTCTGGGAATGCAGGGAGTCAGGGTCCAAGTGGATGAGTTCCTGCCAGCCACGTTCTCAGTGGTCTGGATTATAAATTTCCAGAACGGGTGGGCCCAAATCAGCCTCTGATCTTTGTCAGGAGCGTGTAAGCAGGTGTTTTGTGGCAGTACTGCTAAGTGACTCCACCGCAGATAAAGAGGAATCCTTCAAAGGGATCAAATAAGGGGTTGGCAGCTTAAGCCTCCTGCAATGCTGACAGCCCACAGAGCCAGTATCTGGAGTCCTGGCTGCTCTATTTACAATTCAGTTCCCTACTAATGTGCCTGGGAAAGCAGTGGAGGACCGCCTAAGTTCATGGAGCCCTGTACCCACGTGGGAGACCCAGAAGAAGCTTCTGGTTTCAAAGCAGCCCAGCGCTGACCCTTGCAGCCATTTGGGGAGTGAGTCAGCAGATTCTGCCTGTCTCTTCCCCTCTCTTTTCCTCGCTCTATGCAATCTACCTTTCAAACAAAAATAAATCTTTTAAAAAGTGGTAAAATAGGCTCACGGGAAGATGTGATTCCTAACTTGAGAACAAACCTCAGGACAGAGAGTGTAAAATGCTAAAGGAATTACAAGGGGGACCAGGCAACCATAATGAGCAGGGCAAGTAAACAGACAAACAAAAATCAGTCAGACCTGGGACGACGCGAACCGCACGCAGCAACCTCAAGGATGAGATGGACATCGCATCGGACCTGCTGGGAATGACTCACAGGAACACATTCCTTCCAGCCTCCTCCCAGAATGTTTACAAGAGCTGAACAAACTCTAGATCTTCCAAACTTCCATCTCTGTTTGATCCCAGCACAACCAAGCTGGAAGTTGACACCAAGGTAACTAGAAAGTCCGCAGGTGTCCGAGTCAGCATGATGGCACGATCGGCTAACCCTCCATCTCCATGCACTGAGATCCCATGTGGGTGCCAGTTCATGTCCCGGCTGCTCCACTTCCCATCCAGCTCCCTGCTTATTGGCATGGGAGAGAAGGAGCAGACAGCTCAAAGCCTTGGGACCCTGTACCCGCATGTGGGAGCCCAGGGACAGGCCGTTGCAGCCATTTGGAATTGAAGCAGTTGATGGAAGATCTTTCTGTGTCTCTTTTCTCTCTGTAAATCTACCTTTCTAACAAAAACAAATAAATGTTTTTCTTTCTTTTTTTGTTCTTTTTTTTAGGATTTATTTGTTTTTATTGGAAAGTCAGATTTACAGAGAGAAAGTCCTTCTGTCCACTGGCTCGCTTCCCATGTAGCTGCAACAGCCAGGGCTGAGCCAATCTGAAGGCAGGAGCTTATTCTGGATCTCCCACACAGGTGCAGGGTCCCAAGGCTTTGGGCCATCCTTGACTGCTTTCCCAGGCCACAAGCAGGGAGCTGGATGGGAAGTGGAGCAGCTGGGATATAAACCAGTGACCATATGGGATCCAAGTGTATGCAAGCCGAGGACTTTAGCCACTAAGCTACCGTGCCGGGCCCAAAACAAACAATTTTTTTTTAAAGATTTATTTACTTTTATTGGATAGGTGGATATACAGAGAGGTGGAGAGAGAGAGAGAGGAAGATCTTCCGTCTGATGATTCATTCCCCAAGTGGCTGCAATGGCCAGAGCTGAGCCAAGCCGAAGCCAGGAACCAGGAGCTTTTGAGCTTCTTCCAGGTCTCCCATGTGGATGCAGGGTCCCAAAGCTTTGGGCCGTCCTCGACTGCTTTCCCAGGCCACAAGTGGGCAGCTGGATGGGAAGTGGGGCTGCTGGGATTAGAACTGCATGTATATGGGATCCTGGCATGTGCAAGGAGAACTTTCGTCGCCTGGGTATGGTGCTGGGCCCAAAAACAAATCAATCTTAACAAAACAAAAGAAAACCCCAGGTGTTCAAAGATTCACAAAGGCATCCAAATAGCCACAGATCACAGAAGCTATCATGGCAGAAGTTAGATTATAGTTTGAACAGTGCTGGACATACCACACATCAAACACAAGCTGGGATGCAGTTAAAATAGGACTTGGAAAAGAAAAGCGTATTAGAAAAGGAAGCCTTGGGCCTGTGTCATAAGGAGTTAAGCCTCCACCTGAGACACTGGCATATGGACGCCAGTTCGAGTCCCTCCACTCTGATCTAGCTCCATGCTAATGCACCTGGGAATTCAGCAGAAGATGGCTCACAGGCTTGGGCCCCTGAACCCACACGGGAGACCAGGCAGAAGCTCCCGGCTCTTGGCCTCAGCCTGGCTCAGCTCCAGCTCTTGCAGCCATCTGGGGAGTAAATAGGTGGATAGAAGACCTCTGTCTCTGTTCTCTCTCCCTGTAACTCTTTCAAATAAATAAAATAAACCCTTTCTAAAAAGGAAGCCCTAAAAGTTAGCCTTCAAAAACATTCTGGGTCCGGCAGCGTAGCTTAGCGGCTAAAGTCCTCACCTTGAACGCGCCGGGATCCCATATGGGCACCAGTTCTAATCCTGGCAGCTCCACTTCCCATCCAGCTCCCTGCCTGTGGCCTGGGAAAGCAGTCGAGGCACGGCCCAAAGCCTTGGGACCCTGCACCCACATGGGAGACCCGAAAGAAGCTCCAGGCTCCTGGCTTTGGATTGGCACAGCTCTAGCCGTTTTGGCTGCTTGGGAAGTGAATCAGTGGACGGAAGCTCTCCCTCTCTGTCTCTCCTCCTCTCTGTATATCTGACTTTACAATAAAAATAAATATATATATATATTTAAGATGCTGATTGGAGTGAGGCAGCAATTGGCTGGGGAACAGCCTTGCTTGTCACTGAGTCCCACCTCTCATCCAGTTCTCTCCTGACGAGCCTGTAGGCAGGAGAAGCTGGCTGTGTACCTCGGTTCCTCCCATTTGTGGGGATTTGGATGGAACTCCTGGCTCTTGGCTTCAGCCTGGCCAAATCCCAGCCATTTCTCTCTTTTTCAAATACTTCAAACAAGAAAAAAAAAAAAAAAAAAAACACCCTGCTGGTCAGGATGCCCCTATCTCAGGTCAGACCACCTCGGTTCATTATCTGCTCCCAATTCCAACTTTGGTGATAAGCAAGACCCCAGGAGGCAGTGACTTCACTTCCTGCCACCCACAGAGTCCCCTCCTCACGGCCACCACTCTGCGTGTTTGGGGAGTTGACCAGTAAACAGAAGCGCTGTCTTTCTTCCTCTCAAATACAGAAATATTTTGTAAGAACGGATGAAAACATTCTAATGCAACCCCCCAAAACCTCTGTCTGCATCAACCTGCGTGACCAGTCTCCACACAGAGATTAGGTAACAAGGATGCTAAGTGTCGATCTCTGTAAACACCTGCTGTCACCCAGCAGCGAAGCAGGAAGTGGCTCCTCAGATCCCCCAACCCTTTATTTCTCATTACAATGTGGTTTTGGAAGACATTTCCTTAAGGGACCAGCACTGTGAGCCAGCAGGTTAAGATGCTATTCCCCACACGTGCCTCCCATTTCTGGGTGCAATCCCAACTGCCTCCCCCCCCCCTCCCGCCGTCATGATTCAGAGCCTGCTAATGCGCCTGGGAGGCTGCAGGGCGCAGGGGATGACCCTTCCACTTGGACCCCCGCCACCCGCGTGGGAGGTCCAGCAAGCAGTCCCTGACTCCTGACTTCAGCCCGACCCAGCTCTGGCTGTCGTTGGATTTGGAGAGTGAACGAATGGATGGAAAACTTCCCTATTTCCTTTGTTGTGATTTCAAATACATAAATCTTCTAAAAGGAAAAAAAAAAAAATGTCATCTCACAAACACTTTGCGTTTTCAAAGTGCCCTCCTTGTCTGAGTATAACAGTTGTTCCAGAGACAAGGAAAGTAAACTCGGAGGATAAAAACGCACAAAATAGAACCTGATCCTTCTCCATAATGTGTCAAGAATTAGCTTCGAGGACACAGTCCGTTTTACTCGGGGGACTATCACGTCTCTGCTTAGACGCTCTTGGAGCTCGCGCTCGCGGGACCCACACCGGGACCCACACCGCCTCGGCTTCGAGGCCGTGCGCCCCAGGCCAGAACCCCAAAGCCGGGGCTCAGGGAGCGCCGATGCAGGAGCTGCTGAGTGGCGCAGCTCCTCGAAAGCCACGGCCGTCCCCGCGTCGGGTGACTTACCTACCCCGAGCCCTGGACTCGCGCCCACTCTCGGTCATCGCCTCCGAGGAACCCAACTCCGAGGCTAGCGCCCGCAAAGCAAAAACCCCGCTCCAGGAGTGCCCGCCACGCCTTCCCGGCACATTTCCGACTCACGCAACCTCCAAGGCAACCTCCAAGACGTGTGTTTCTTCCTCAGGATGCAGCGTGCCGGCGGGAGCCGGCGCCCCAACAGCTCCGCGCGCGCTTTCGGCTCGCCCTGCCACCACCCACGCTCCGGACGCGGAGGATTCCACGTACCGCGGGACACGGCTTCCCCCGCCTCGGAGCCCGGGAACGGACCGGCGAAGGCGGGGTCCCATTCCCTTCCCGTCTGTTTAATAAGAGACACTCACTGGGCCGAAGTCATCCCGAAACCCGCCGCGGGCAGCCACCTGGGGAGCAGCGCGAGTGGAGGAAGCTGTGAGAGTGTGGGGCTTTCTCCTCGCCACGTCACCCACTCCACACCGGACGTGCGGGTTTTCTGTGCACTGGGCGATGGGGCCCTCGGGAATCTTTATGTCCTTCCGGTCGCCCCGGAATTCCTGGCACACAGACCCGCCCCAGGCCCATGCACAGAACTCCAAAGGGCTGGCAGTAGCGACCTCTGTCCAGCCAGGTGAGGTCTTCCAGAAAATCGTGGGCTGGGTGGCAAAGGCGTTTTCCGCTGTCTACTTTTATATATATGTATACTTTTATATATACCACGCCTAACCCAAAAAAGTGAATAGAATGACACCTCTTAATCTCATTTCAAGCAAAACAGGCAGAACGGAGCAACCAGCTCGTCAGTGGAGAACAGCTGGGGCGCTAAGCGAATCTGGCAAAGCCTGAACGCTCACACAACCCTCACCCAGACGAACCTTTGCTCGCCCCCGTCTGGAGCTCACCGGGATGGATTGGGCAGCCGGGGCGGCGACTCCACGTCTGGGGGAGTGCGGTGCGCGGTGCGATCCCCGACGCCGCCACGAGGCGCAGCACGAGCGGGCGCAGCGCGAGCGGGCGCCGCTCTGCACGGTTATCCGGGGCTTGCCCTGTGCTAGGCAAGGCGCCGCGGTCGGAGGGTGCCGGCTGACTTCCTCCAACAGCCACTCGCGCTGCCTGCGTCCTTGGAAGGGGTGGATTGCAGGGGACGCTTGGCAGGATGTCTGTTAGAAGGCAGGTGCACGCAGTCCGAGGCGTGGTTGTATCCCAGAGTGATATGTGACCCAGTCTAGTCTCAAGTCCAAGAACTTTTCGAAGAGGCCGTGAAGCTGTGACACAATCCTTGCAAAGAGATTGAGGTTTTCTTGACTGGTCAGGACGCCGACCTACCGTTATCAGGTGTATGGGTTGGAGTTTGGGCTCCAGTTCCAGGTTCCAGCCGCCTGCTAATGAGCACCTGAGCTGATGACCCAGCGGTTGGGTCTGGATCGAACTTCTGATTCTTGCTGAAGCCTGACCCAGTCCAGATCCTCGCTGTCATACTGTTTCCCTCTCAAGTAAATACACATTTTAAACGTTTGTACAATGAGCACCAGCATCTGTCTGTATAATAGATTTATTTATTACATCCTACTGTGGCCTCAAAAGACATTAAGGACGTGGGAATATCAATACAAGAGAAAAAAAAAAGTCCCTGTGAATTGACCAAGTGCATACGGAAAGCAAGTAGAAAGACGGGGCGGCGGGGGGTGGGGGTGAGCTTTGCCACCTTGTGCGGCTGAGGCCCAAGGTCACAGCTGCACAGCAGAGCCACAGACTGCTGCAGGTGCAGAGGCCGCACACCGCATCCCAGTAGATGGAGCCACCACTTGTTGCGCTGTCATTCCATGTAAGGAGCAGCACTTCCAGTCACGGCTGTTCTGCTGCCAATCTGCTTCCCTGGGAAGCCTGCAGAGGGTAACCCGCCCCACCACCAAAAATGCTTGGTCTGTCACCCACTCCCAGATGGGATTCCTGGCTCCTGGCTTGGGCCTGGTCTAGTACCAGCCAGTTGTTTTCATTTGGGAAGTGAACCAGCAGATCTGCTTTCAAATAATTACAATAATGTTTCTCTTTTCTTTTTTTCTGAAAGAGATTATTTTAATTTTTTCCCAGTCATAGCTCTTCAACATAGAGACATTCATGGGTCTGGCACAGTAGCACAGTGGCTAAAGTCCTTGCTTTGAACACCCGGAATCCCATACGTGTGCCAATTTTAATCCCAACGGCCCCACCCATCCAGCTCCCTGCTTTAAAAACAAACAAACAAACAGAAAAAACCAGCTTAACAGTATCTATTTACAGAAATATTTAATTACCTAATTTTTTTTAAGATTTATATATTTTTACTGGAAAGTCAGATTTACAGACAGAAAGAGAGACAGAGAAAGATCTTCCATCTGCTGGTTCGCTCCCCAAGTGGCCTGAGTGGCCGAAGCTGAGCCGATCTGAAGCCAGGAGCCAAGAGCTTCTTCCAGGTCTGCCAAGGTCCTGGGCTGTGCCCCACTGCTTTCCCAGGCCACAAGCAGGGAGCACAATGAAAAGTGGCGCAGTCTGGTCATGAGCCAGCACCCATTTGGATCCCCTAGGCTGGACCCACAGAGATACTTTTGATCCTTATTTAAAATGTTTATTCCCTGGCCTGGAGGTTTTGCGTCCCCCACAGGCGACAATAGCCAAGTTGAATGGCTCCTTGGGGGAAGGGAGACGTGGTGCACCTTTTGGTTTTCCCCAGCCTGGAGGGTTTTTGACCACCACAGATGCAGTCCAGCTGGGCTGCGTGACTTCCTTGTGGAGGGGAGGAGCTCTGCGGGCTTTCGGTTCGCCACAGGTGCATTCAACCATGCCGTGTGGCTCCCTGGGGGAAGGCGAGGGCCGAGCAGCTGGTGCAGGGGGCTTGGGGTAGGGATTTGCAGGGGGGAAGGGGGAGTGCACAGGTGGTGGTGACTGATGACCTGTAGGTCCATGCCCAGATGAGCAATTACTGCTGAGGGACCTCCATGGATAAGACCACTATATGTGTATGTAAGAGAGGAACTGAGACTAAATTGTTTGCAGTGGGGAAACAGGTGGGCCTTTAATGGTCAGGCTGAAGTACAAGCACACGTGGGAGACTTAAGCTGGGGTAGTTAGCATCACCATCACCAAGCACCATAAAGCTAAGGCTGGAGCCTGCCAGTGAGAGATCACGGGTCAGGTGATGTTAGGATGGACCATGATGATAGCTAGCGCATGAGAGAATCGGGTTTGGTAGCAGAATCTGTGGGGGAGATGTGAGCTCACCCCTAAGGAACTACAATCTCCATTAGCATGCCCAGGAACTGTGGATGGGAACAGACTTGGCTGGGGAGGTGAGGGGACTGCCCAGCTGTGTTGTGGTTCCCGCTGGTGAAGATGAGAGCCGGATTGGTGGCAGAGGGCTAAGCTGGAGATGGCTGCAGCCTCCCTCAGTGTGGGTGTGGGCTGGGTCTGGGGAATGGCAGACTGGACTAGACTCCAGCATCCACTGGTACTCCTGAGAGACAGGGTGGGTATCGAATGGACTGGGCTAGGTCTTGCCAGGACAAGAGGTGGATAAAACCAACCTGAGCCAAGGAAGACTCACTGCTGTGCGCGAGAATTGCCGCTAGGAGGAGACCCAATAGAGGAGCTTGGAAAACTCCTTCATCAGGATGCAGTCCCTGCACGTGAGCACAAGAATCAAGGAGCAGCCCTGACCACACCAGGGTGCAATACCCGCCGGCATACAGGTGGGTCGGGACTGGGGACAGACCAGGCTGGGCAAGTCATAACATTCACTGGCAGATCTGAGAACCAGGACAGGGTGAAGTAGGGGAGCTAGGTCAGGTTGCAACACCAGTCAGTTCACATTAGGCCCAGGACAGGGATCAGGTGCTGGATTCATGAGCCTCAGGCGCTAGGGCCTGGTAGAGCCGGGCCTGGTCCTGGGGCTGCCGGCAATGTGGGTACCAGACTCATGAGCCTTGGGGATGCGGGATCCAGCAGAGCTTGGATCCTGGGGCCCACCAACTATGTGTGGGTGCCAGGTTCTTGAGCTCTAGGGGTGGGGAATCTGGCTGGGCTTGGGTCGCCTGGCCTGGTTCCTGGGCCCAACTGTGCAGTGGGTGCCAAGTTCATGAGCCTTGACAGGAGCTTCTTCCAGGTCTGTCACGTGAGTGCAGGGTCCCAAACCTTTGGGCCGTTCTTGACTACTTTCCTGGACCATAGGCATGGAGCTGGATGGGAAGCAGGTTGGCAGGGATTAGAACCGGCGACCATATGGGATCCCGGTGCATTCAAGGCAAGGACTTCAATCGCTACACTATCACACTGGGCCCAGAAAAATTAAACCTTGGGGTCAATTGCCTAATCCTCTGCCTCCATGTGCCAGCATCCCATATGAATGCTGGTTTGTATTCTGACTGCTCTACTTCCAATACAGTTCCCTGCTAATGGCTTGGGAAAACAGTGGAGGATAACTCCATTCCTTGGGACCCTGCAGGAGATGCAGAGGTAGCTCCAAGGCTCCTGGATGCAGACAGGCCCACTTTCAGCCATTGTAATCATTTGGGGAGTAAACTAGTGGATAGAAGATCTCTCTTTTTTCTGGCTTTCCTTCAATCTGTAAATCTGCCTTTGCAATAAAAATAAGCCAATCTTAAAAAAAAACAAACAAAAAAATAGAGTAAGATCCCAGAGTGGTAGCCTAGTGGCCAAAGTACTTTCCTTGTGTGTTCAAAGATCCCATATGAATGCTGATTCATATCCTGACTGCTCCACTTCCCATCCAGCTCCCTGCTGGTGGCCTGGGAAAGCAGCTGAGGACGGCCCAAAGCCTTGAGACCCTGCACCTGTGTGGGAGACCAGGAAGAAGTTCCTGGCTCCTGACTTTGGATTGGCTCAGTTTTGGCCGTTGCGGCCACTTGGGGAGTGAACCATCAGACGAAAGATCTTCCTCTCTGTCTCTCCTCCTCTCTATATATCTGACTTCCCAGTAAAAAATAAATAAATCTTTTTATTTTTTTAAATTTTTTAAAGATTTATTTTATTTTTATCGGAAAGGCGGATATACAGAGAGGAGAGACAGAGAGGAAGATCTTCCATCCGATGATTCACTCCCCAAGTGAGCGCAACGGTTGATGCTATGCTGATCCGAAGCCAGGAGCCTCTTCCGGGTCTCCCACACGGGTGCAGGGTCCCAAAGCTTTGGGCCGTCCTCGACTGCTTTCCCGGGCCACAGGCAGGGAGCTGGATGGGAAGCGGGGCTGCCGGGATAGAACTGGCGCCCATATGGGATCCCGGGCGTGCAAGGCGAGGACCTTAACCACTTGTGCCACCGTACCAGGCCCCAAAGTGATTGGTTCTAATGACCACTTGGGGCAGGAAATCATTTAATTGTGACAGTACTGTTGTTAATTTTTCTCTCTCTTTTTTAAAGATTTATTTATTTTTATTGCAAAGTCAGATATACAGAGAGGAGGAGAGACAGAGAGGGAGAGCTTCCATCTGATGATTCACTCCCCAAGTGAGCGCAACAGCCGGTGCTGCGCCGATCTGAAGCCAAGAGCCAGGAACATCTTCCGGGTCTCCACATGGGTGCAGTGTCAAGGCTTTGGGCCGTCCTCGACTGCTTTCCCAGGCCACAAGCAGGGAGCTGGATGGGAAGTGGTGCAGACAGGACTTGAACCGATACCATATGGGATGCTAGCCCCTTAGGTGAAGGCTTAACCCATTACACCATGGCAATGGCTACAATAAACCTTTCAAAAAAGGAAGTACTACGCTATGTGCCTGTGGTTTTGAGGAGGCCTCTTGGCTGCTGTTGAGGGTCTCTGCCCATGCCAGGGGTTGACTGACTGGAAGCAACAGTTGACCAAAGGAGGATATGTTTGTGCATTTTGAACTGAATCAGGAATTTTATAGCAGTCCTACTCAGCAAGTCAGGCTGTGGCCCTAAGTGTCTAGCCCCATGGCCAAGCAATGTCCACTGCAACCTGAAAGCTGCAACCCAAGAGAAGTAATGGTTGTGCAACTCCACCTGGAGCCCCCGCAGCTGCTTTTCATTTCTCCATGGCTCCTGGCCCATTTCCGGCTGTCACTCGAGCCGAACTGACATATTGTCACGTAGTTTGAATTCTTCCTCTCCATCATTCCGGTCCCTCCCAGTCTCCACCGGATATATCTGCCTCAGCTAATACTGGTCTTCCTGGGCCCAAGGCCAAACTCGCACAGTCACATTTCCGTGACACTAATAAGAGAAGCTCTGCCAAGCAGATGCCAGGGCCACCAGCTGGAGCTGTTATAAGCACTCCTGGAAGACGTGGTGTGGCACCTCGGCCCACCTGCAGAGTTGAAGTGTTTGGGGAAGATGGCAGCTTCTGTCACCGGGTCAGAGCAGTGTCTGCTGGCAGATTCACAGCCGCAGAGGATGGGACCGTGTCACATTCATGCTTTCACTCCCAGAGCCTCACACGGGCCTCACTCTGAACAGGTGCTATTCAA